AGAGAGAGAGAGAGATGACCTATGCGGGTCAAAAGGAAATTGTTCAGGTTCATTTTGAAAACATTAATATATAAAATTAAAGGAGGACAAGTTCAGTCGGGTGAATGCTTTAACTCTGTCGAACAGAAACTAAAAGGGAGGTGCTATTAAAAAATGATGGAGATTTTTGGGGCACAATAAGATATTTCCCAAAAGAAAATGATAATAAAAGATTTAGGGAAAAATAGAATAGGGAAAATACCTCTAAACTGGTCATACTACTGAAAAATCAAAGTAGTCAAATCAACCAATTTAACATTAAATTTGTTATTTTATAAGATTTCTTTCACACAGGAATTCTTCTAGAATTCTGTTTAAAATACATCATCTTACACATGCAAAACCTGAACAAGAAGATCTATTTTAGTAATTTATTATAACTAAAGTGGTGTAGCCCAAATGCTCTGAACATGGTTAGGAATCTAAAACATGAATCTCATATTAAAACTTCTTTCTCCAGTTGTCTTGACATGAAAAAGGGGCATTTGCATCATGTGCCAAGGAGGCACAAGCAAAATGAAGAATGAGTTGTCAAATAATATTTTAAGGATGCAGTCTCTTACGAAACTGAAGTTTTTGATGGCTTTAAAATCAATTTCCAACACGGATTATGAAATTTGAAGTTAAATAAAGAGTTTTCAGAGAAAAATGGAGGGTTTAGATAATGTGGTACGATGATCCTTTTTTGCAAAAAAAAACCCATAGTCAATATCCATTTGAAAGGATTTTCGATGCCAGAACTGCAATATTCTGTGGGAGTTGAGGTGAGGCTCTAGTTATTTTGATAGGGCCGCGCTTTGGGAAAGGAAATAGGAATCTGATTTTTCGACAGAGGGAAAAGGAAAAGGAAATGGCAGGGAAGCGAGAGAATGATGCTGCCTCCTCCTGTGTGTTGTGTTGTGGGTGTGGATTCCACCACCAACATTTCCTACACTGCATGCTCTTCCTGTGAGAGACCCCTTCAAACACAACACAATTCTTCCAGTTCTTCCTCTGCCCTCAATCTCTGTTGCTCTTCTGCAAATCATCTTCAT